ATTATTCCTCAAAAATACAACTTTCCTAATAATTCTGCACTCCCTGTAAAGTAGCAGCTAGCTACAACTAAAAGGGACCAGGACAAGGCTGAAGGCTGGTGGTAACAACCTCCACCCCTCAGATTCTTTGCAGGATTACTACACAGCTGATGATGATGAGCTGGTCGTTACCTGCGGGTCAGAGTTCACCAGCCGAATCCCCAGTTGCGAGGCCAACGTCAGGGCAGCACAGTGGAGCTCCACGCTTGAAAACACAAAACCACATCAACTTCAAAACGGCCCATGCAAACAGTTTGCAGCTTTTACTCTAAAATATTTGTTAGATTTGCAGAAAATGTGAAATTTTTTTAGTTATTTTTATTTGAGTGAATCGGCCCTTAAATTTGAAACATTTACACAGTGACAGCATAACGTGCTCCTCAGGTTGTTCTGTGGAAATCATTACCCAAGGCTGCGGCGCCGTCAGCCACACACACACACACCTCTCAACTGTATTGACTTACAATCCACAAAAGAAGTGTGCTGGTACTCACCACTACATTATGGGTCACAATAGCCCGAGTGCTATTCAATCACACGGCAGACAAGGGCAACCAGCAACCCGATCTCATCCCTCCCCGGCTCTAATCATAACCCTGGGGCCACTCCGAAGGGAAAGTGGATCCCCGGGTCCAGAGATTGTGGCCAGGAAAAGGCTTTGCAGGGCTAAAAGCCTTTGTAATCCAATCCTTATTCAAGCCTGTATTCTCTTGTCAGGGGTGAGAAAAGTACAGCAGTGGCTTGTCAAGAAAAGGGGCATGTGTGTGTGTGCCAATGCATGTCAAAGGGGCTTAAGTACGAGCACATACACACGAATACTGGAAGAGAGTGTGCCAAAATTGGTTTGTGGTCAAATGCAGAGACGGGCCGGTGACTCATAATCTTTGACAAAAATAATGCTTTCAGCCTGACAGGTGTGAATAATCTAATGTAGGAATAATGGCGTGATGAAGGTCTTTGAGAGTACAGATATCAGCTTTCATCCACTTTTTTTTTTAATAACGTTAAACTACTCGTCTCTCTGGCTTCGGGACACTTAAGTTATCAAAACACTTGAGCGGTACGCAGCTAACCACGCAAACATCCTGCAGAGAGGACCCTTCAGGTGCGCCCAGGTGCGGGGTTAAGGTGCAGCCAGTGAACCTGTGTGTCACTCCTTCATGGATTCCGGCTCCGAATGAGCCCCGACAACCTGACGGCGACAGCAGTGTGAGGGCTCTTTCACGAGCCGGAGAGAGGAAGGGAAAAAAACAGAAAGAAGAAAAACAGAAAATGGAGGAGGAGGAGTGTGTGGTTGCATCTTTGCCCTGTAGTACATTCCCGTCTCCATCCATCACATTTAAAAGCTGCCCTGGGATTTACTTGGGAACTGTTTTGACAGCAGGTTTTCAGTTAGGACTCACACAGTTGCCTCCCTTTATAACGAATGTAAGTTTGAGGGGGACCCAGCAGGGCCCGTATGAACGTAGAGAGTAGCTGTAGCTGTCTCCTGTATCAATAACATGTACGGACATAACTTAAGAATGGGAAACGCTGTTAATTATGCATTAAAAGTGGGATTTTGAGGGTTAGCAGCACTGTAAATTTCTGCAGTTCAACATTGTTTACGAGAATTTGAATGCAGCGCAGAAAACTTCTTGGAACTGCCGAGAATTGATGTGGAATTTCACACAGCTGAAAAGCTCCCCCGTTCACTCCCAGCCCCTCCAGGCCTAGATGAGGCTATAAGTGTTTTGAGTTACAGGACGCAGACTTCACAGGCTGTAAACAGCTGTGAACTCTGGGAAATCTGTGAGGTTCGTGGGTAATCACGGGGCTGAAACTCTCTACTTCAGACTCACTGTGACGATGTCAGAGATGGATGTCAGGGCGATGAAAACCACAAGAACCAGAACTTAGACACGACGTCTGAGTTCAAGGGTCAGGAGTAAATCTTTACGGATTCTGAACAGAAATCAAACGATACGCAGTGAAATAAATATGTCTTCAGGCCCTCTATCTTTACTCGGATGGACACAGGTCACCACGGTTTTCCGTGTTTTGCAGAAGGTCATAGTACCTGGCACCAGGTACTTTTTCCATACCTGCTCTGCCAGGGTTGTTAGACTGCATGCCACCGATTGGCTGGTCAGTAGCGTCACTCCACGAGTCATTAGAGTGTCTCATTTCCAAAAATCAAAACCGCCATTCTTGAAACTCGACAACGATGAAAATGGCTACAAAAAACAACGCAGTCTGACGAAAAGCCACAAGCTGAGCAGCAGGTATCTCGTCGCTGTTCGTGTCGCATATTAATTAAGTCATGGGATGCTCAGCAGCGCTGCTATGATGACAGCCACGTACATTAGGTAGTACTGGATTGTACTGGAAAACCAGTCGACCCAGCTGCTGCCGAACAAACAGCAGTCTTCTGGGCCAAATATTAGCAGGACGTCAAAAGCTGCTGCACGAGTTATCAGGTGTCTGTGACGGACATCTAAGGAGGAAACCTGCTAGCCAAGCTTGCTATAACCTTAATTCAATGTAATCTTATTTATAAAGCGCCAACAGCAACAATCGGTTCAAGAAGCTTTATATTAAAAGGTAAAAACCCTACAATAATGAGCCCTTTATGAGTAAGCACGTGGCGACAGCGGGAAGGAAAAACTCCCTTTTAATAGGAAGAAACCTCCGACAGAACGAGACTCGGGGAACTATCCCGATCATCTGCTACAACCAGGTGGGACAGCTAATCACTTAGCACGTCTACCTCTTATCGAAATTTGATCACTTCTGACATCACGGGGCGGTGTCCATCTTTTATATACAGTAGTTCTTTTTACTGACCTGTGAGCAGAGTTCTGAGCCAATGTTAGGAGGTGCAACAAAACCTCCTCCAGGGACAAAACCCTTGCACCATCCTTCCACGGAAGCTCGTCGCTGGAGCTCAGCACACACAAAACCTGCAGGACCTGAGAGGAGGAACGACATGACAGAGACAGCAGGAAGAGCGAGTAAGTAAGATACTTAAGCAAGATACACACTGATGTCATCAAATCATCCTTTTTCACCTCTCTGCCTCACGTACACACACAGTACCAGAGCTACTGGTGAGGGAAGTTGCTCAGCGTCATCCATCAGCAGAGCTTTGGTGTCGTCTCTGCAGTGCTGCTGGCAAGTTGGCCCAAGGGTATTTTTACCCTTCTAGTCAGAGCCTCCCTATGCACACCCTAACCACGGGTACACAGCTGCCACACACACACACACGAGCACAGCAGGCACCAAGAGGTCTTGTGTCTACTTTTTGCATCTTAACCTTGTGCTTTTTACTGTGCCCAGTCACTCGTACAGAGAGGCAGGCAGCTCACTGAGCACGAGGCGGAAAAGACCTGTTTTTTTCCGCCGCGCTAGACGCCTGTTAAAACACACACATCCAGGCGAGAACACATGTTGACATTCCAGCTGCATATCTCAATGATTATTATTTCTTTCAAGGCTCCAACCTGTTATTAGAGCTTTAAAATAAAGCTCACTTTATAAGATCTGTGTGGGCAGAGGGCAGGGCGAGCGGGTGCATGCAGCGTCTGTGTGTAAACATCTGCCTGCGTGCTGCACTTTATGCATGTGAGCACTGAAACATCGAGGGAGCGAGGTGGGCCCGTGAGGTTTCTACGCCGTCATTCTGACTGATTGATCTGATACTAATCAATTACCAACAAACACTGATTACATCACGGCTGATCAGAGAGAAGTCACAAAGTTGCTGTTATTAATCCATTTGGCGAATTTAAAAGCTGTTTTTATTACACCGTCAATGAAAATAACGTGGTGCAGGAGGGGAGAATAATACTGAAACATACAGATAATTATGAACTCTCTTTCATTCTGCGAAGCATCTTTAAGCTTTGTTTCATTTTATTGTAATTATGTTGCATCGTGAGACTTTAAACAGCTTTTTCTCAGAGGACATTCTTCATGCAGAGGATATCTGCATGAAGAATGTCACAAAAAGCTGATGAGACAGGATTTTTTTTTCTCTTAGCAACAATTTATTACATTTTCCAGGTCCACAAATATTTTCCAACATAAATAAATCTGTATGTGAACGACTGACCTTGTTGGACCTTTAAAATCCGCTCTCATTGTAAGCACAAGGACACTTTGTTGAGGTACCACTCCTGCAATTTACTGCATGTTGCAATAATAGATTTTATTAACTTTACAGGTAAAAACACTGAGCTAAGCTGGCTGTGTTAGCACTGCAAAGTAGCAGAATGCTGAACACTGTGAGGCAGATCATTTGAAACTAAATCAGTGCCAATAGTGGACTTTGTCTCAACAAAAACGCAAATTACACTAAAATTAAATCAACCCAATTATGTAATGAAGTGGAAAATAGCTTGCTAGCATATCTGCCTTTATAGCAATGTTTTGCAGTCATTCAGTTACAGCATACTGCCCCCAAATGGCCTAAAAAGTCTATTTAGCTTTAAGCAAACTGCACACACACTGGCTCAAGAGCGCTAACCTATAAAAACAATGGCTCATAGTGTGCACATAGATAATGATAATGACAGATAATAGTGTCCATATTTCAGACTCCTGTTAAAAAGTCACTTTGTGGCACAAAGTAGAGGCCAATACATACAACAGCTCATTTGTACTCGTCAGGGAGGTTGTGGTGGGCGTAGCCTATTCCATAGACAATATTTCATCAAGTCTATTGGTTCCTTTCAACTCCAGTGAGAGTCAGTAAATCACTGGCCAAGAAATGCCAAGACAGTGTCATTATTCATTTGGCCGCAGCATTTCTCTTTAACTGAAAAACTTCCAATATATATAATATAACCCCCCCCCCCCTTCTTTGCAGTACTAATGGGATTATTTTAGTTGTAATCACAGCCATCGAGTGTGTATTTTTCACTGTTCACCACCCGTCTGTCTGCTAACCCCGACAGCTGCTCTGACCATCTCTGCTGCTTCAGACTTTTACGGCCCGCTTTAACAAGCTCCCGTCTTGCGACATACTCGGCTGCCCACATACTCAAATATACACAGTCACAGTAAAGCATGCCAGCCCAGGCGGACAGACTTTCATAGCTGTAACATGCAAATAAATAGTGACGCCCACCCTGCATGAACAGGCACATTTGTAGTTTCCTGCTATAGTCTGTCCTGCAGGTCTAAAGAACTGAACCAGAGTCCATATATCTGCACGAGTCCTGAAAAGAACACAACTTTCCCTCAGCAGCTTTCCCATAATGCTTCACTGCAGATTAGGTTGAGCTATGGCAACTGGCCCATTGGGTTGGTGCGTCTATGGCGCAGAGGAGGCTCCACTTAACAGGCCCGACACATTAAACGTTAAGTGCTGGCAGGTAAAGCAAAGCCTGGAGAAGAACGAACCCAAGCAGACACATGCCAGTCTGCAGCGCCGAGTGCTGTCAGCTCTGCAGGGGTGTTAACGGCAGACGTGACAGAGCGGGTCCGCTGGCAGCCTGTCCTCTTTGGGAAGAAATACAACCTTCTGTCCCCAAACAGGAAATAGGTCGCATTTTCCTCTCCAAAACCTGTTAGCGAGGAAAGCTACCAAGCCTCTCAAGAGTCAGTGTAAGTAAGTGAGCGAGTGAGTGAACCAGCTCACTGCAAGTGTGCTTGGCGTTTCCCCCTGTGGCTGATTAGCCTCTCACGCAAGGCTCTGCGAGATGGATTGGGATTTTAATCAGTTTGTAACCAGTGTCGCTGTGATTCAGGGAAACTGTGTCAGATAGAAAAAAGGAGCTCACCATTCTGTGATGTTAGAACTTTAAGATTATGCTGCTGCTGGCAGCAGGCGTCCACATATATATAAAACAACTAGACGTGTATACAGGCTCCCAAACAAAAAACACAACAAACAAATGAAACTCCTAGAATACGTTTGTGTAAATCTGTGTGTGTGCGTGTGGTCTCACCTTGGCCAAACACTGTGGGTGAGTCTCATGAAGAGCCAGACTGGTCAGGTTAGACTGGGTGGTCTCATCCAGCCACTCAGGCCTCCTCTTCCTTTCCTCCTCCTCTTCCTCCTCCAGCTTCCTCAGTAGCCCCTCTAATGCCAGCTCCCTCACCTCGTACTGCGGGCACTGCAGCAGATGGTCCAGGAGCTTGGTCTTCAGCTGGGGGCCGTCCCAGAGCTCAGGGAACTCCACACCGGCGCTGAGGCCCACCCGAGCCAGGCTGAGGAGGTACTGGGTGCTGCCAGGCCCAAAGGTGGCAGAGGAATTGCAGGAAGTGACCAGTTCTGAGGCCGTGAGGACGGACAGAGTCTTCTGACGGAGTGTGCCGACCTCTGAATCTGACAAACGCATGAAACATAATATTAGCTGACAGCAACAAACAAACAGTTATTTAAAAGTCATTTTCATTCCAAACTTACAAAGTCAAACTTTTTAGAAACGCTGCCATGTAAATTAAAACCGGCCATGTTATCTTCTGCTAGCATTCATCTGATGATATCATACTACAACGCTTTGGTTTTGTGCCACAAACCCACACGGAGCAACCCATTAATAATGCCAGCTGGCTCCTAAATGACTAACCAGCAAACATTTCCCAAACAGCATGGTGTATGTACAAACAGGAATCAGATGAGAGATACAAGTTACTGGAAATACCAGTTTCAAATAGGCCTCCGGAGCTCTGTCACACCTCAAAGTTGCACAGCACTGATACAAAAATAGCCCATCGCACAACCTACAGTATGATTTTATTTCTCGTCTCCATTGCTGCCTCTGGTTCAGATCCAGTATTCCTTTGAAAAAGGCCAAGTTCCTCTTAGAAGGTAGATCTGGTTTCCAAGTGCCTCTTTATCCTACTTGGCACCAAGTAAGCATTAGCCAGTTTCTACCAACATGCCTTTGCTGTGAGGGCTTGTTGCTATCAGCGGTCAAGCTAAAGCATTTTCATGAGTGTCTAATATGGTATTGATTGATTCATGACTTTTTGCGAGGTCACAGTCACATTATCACAGTGTCACAAAGCCTCGTGGTAGTTGTGGTCTTGCTCCCAGTGCACACAAAGTGAGAATCTACAGGATAGATAACCCTCTTAAAGCAGCCCATTGGTCGAGTTCACACTCATGATCTTGTTCTCTTTAGAGCTGTGTTTTTCATAGTTCTGTTTGTTGACATCCTGTCAGTGTGTACTTGATGCTTGGGCTCTCCTTCCCAAAGGAAGACTGTTCAGTGACGTCAGAGATAACATACGAGGAGGACCGCGACACTAAAAGAATCCTGGATGGAAATCTACCGCAGAATTCTGAAAAACTATGATGGATGTCTCCCGACTCGGCCAATGCCAAGACTTTGTTAATTGGCAAGAAATAAAAACTCTAATTTGCCTTTTCAGACACACCAACCTGGTCCTTGGAGTAACTCTGAATCACGACTGAAAGAGAGCAGGCGATACAAGTTTCCTCCAAAATGTGGCTCGCCTTATCCTTAGTTTTCCAGGCATACTGTATCTACCCTAGGATAGACCCACAACACGCTGGGAAGACTATGTATCTCACCTGGTTTGGGAACACCTTGAATGCAGGTGTACTTTGAATGTACCCCCCAAACTCTCCTTCTTCCCGTTATTATTTTCAGACACTACAATTTCTAAGCAGTTGTATTGCAGTCTGATTTCTTCACAAGCTAAACACACACACACACATCC